GTATGTATGTCGTGTATGTGTCGCATACGTTTCGTAAATGTTTCGCTATGTTTCGTCATAGGTTTCGTATGTGGTTGGCACATGTTTCGTATATGTATCTTACACGTGCCGTACATGTTTCGTATATGTGCCGTACATGTTTCGTAGATATTTCGCATATGTTTCGTATATGCTTCCTATATGTTTCGTAAGTGTTTCGTGTATGTGTCGCATATATTTCGCGTACGTTTCGTATGCGTTTCGTGTACCTGTCGTATCTATGTCGTGTCTGTTTCGTAGATGTTACGTATATGGTTCGTGTATGTTTTGTGTATGTCTCGCACATGTGTCGTATATGTTGTTTCTTATAGGTTTCATATATGTTTCGAAAATGTTTCGTATACGTGTCGAAGATGTTTCGAATATGTGTCGTACATGTTTCGTATGTTTTGTAAACGTTTCGTATACGTTCCGTAGACGTGCCGAATATGTTCCGACAACGTTTCGTATATGTTTCGTATATGTTTCGTATGTGTGCCGTACATGTTTCGTATACGAGTCGTAAATGTGTCGTAGATGTTTCGCAAGTGTTTCGTATATGTGTCGTGTATGTTTCGTAAATGGTTCGTATATGTTTCGTACATGTTTCGTAGATGTTTCGTATATGTTTCGCACATGTCCCGCATATGGTTCGTAAATGTTTCGTGCATGATTCGTATATGTGTCGTGTATGTTTCGTGCATGGTTCGCAAATGTTTCGTATATGTTTCGTATACGGTTCGTATATGTTCCGTATATGGTTCGTGTATGGTTCGTGTATGTTTCGCTTATGCTTCGTAAATGCGTCGTATATATGTCGTTAATGTGTCGCGTATGTTTCGTAAATATGTCGTATATGTTCCGTATATGTGTCGTAGATGTTTCGTATATGTTTCGTATATGTGTCGCATATGTTTCGCATACGCGTCGCAGATGTTTCGTATCTGTATCGTACATGTTTCGTGTACGTTTCGTAAATGATTCGTAGATGGTGTGTGCATGTTTCATTTTATTTCTGGTATGTGCCGTACACGCTCCGTAGATGTTTCGTATATGTTTCGTATGCGTTTCCTATGTATTTCGTGTATGTGTCGTATATGTTTCGTATACGTGTCGTATATATGTCATGTATGTTTCTTATGCGTTTCCTATATATTTCGTGTATAAGCCGTGTATGTTTCGTATACGTTTCGTATATGTTTCGTATACGCTTCTCGCTTATGTTTCGTATATGTGTCGTGTATGTTGTGTATACGTTTCGAATATGTATCGTATACGTTTCGTATATGTATCGTATATGGTTCGTATACGTTTCGTATATGTTCGTACATGTTTCGTCTATGCTCGTGTATGGTTCGTAAATGTTTCGCACATGTTTCGTATATGTTTCGTATATGTGTCGTATATGTTTCGTAAATGTTTCGTGCAGGTTTCGATTACGTTTAGTATATGGCTACTATATGTTTCGCGCATGTTTCGTATGTGCTTCGCACATGAATCTTAGATGGTTCGTATATGGTTCGTGTGTACATATATACATATATATATATGTGTATAGTGTGTATGGTTCGTACACGTTTCGTGTATGTTTCGTATACGTGTCCTATACGGTTCGTACACGTTTCGTATACGTTTCGTATATGTTTCGTGTATGTTTCGTATACGTTTCGTATGCGTTTCATAGACGTGTCGAATATGTCTCGTATATGTGTCAAACATGTTTCGTATATGTTTCGTATATGTTTCGTAGCTGGTTCGTATATGTTTCGTGTATGTGTCGTGTATGGTTCGTAGACGTTTGGTGTATGTTTCGTATACGTGTCCTATACGTTTCGTATAACGTTTCGTATACGTTTCGTACATGTCTCGCATACGGTTCGTATACGTTTCGTAACGTTTCGTGTATGTTTCGTATATGTTTCGTATATGTTTCGCATATGTTTCGAATGCGCCAGGGGCGCGAGGCGTGCCAGGTGCGCCAGGTGCGCCAGGCGCGCCAGGTGCGCCAGGTGCGCCAGTTGCGCCAGGTGTGCCAGGTGCGCCAGGTGCACCAGGTGCGCCAGACGCGCCAGGCGCGCCAGGTGCGCCAGGCGCGGCAGGTGCGCCAGGTGAGCCAGGTGCGCCGGCGGCGCCAGGTGCGCCAGGTGTGCCAGGTGCGCCAGGTGCGCCAGGTGTGCCAGGTGCGCCAGGTGCGCCAGGTGCGCCAGGCGCGCCAGGCGCGCCAGCGGCGCCAGGCGCGCCCTAGGGCAAACAGACGGAGGTCAACCCTACTACTACTACTACTACTACTACTACTACTACTACTACTACTACTACTACTACTACTACTACAACTGCTACGACTACTACTTCAACTGCTACGACTCCTACTACTATGACTACTACCACCACCACTACCACTACTACTACTACTACTACTACTACTACTACTACTACTACTACTACTACTACTCCTACTACTCCTACTACTACTACTACTACT